GGACATATTTACGAGCATTTAATAATATTAGCTGTGACATGTCCCATTTTAAAAACTGAGCATAGCATCATTGTTGCAGTCTTTCCCTCATAATTCCCACTAATTGTGTATCTAGTCAGCTTGCTGCAGTATCTGTGCTGAATAGTACAGCTCTGGAAATCATAAGAGAAGATGAGCTGTGATTTCTTCACTCTTATCCATGTGAATGAGCTCTGTTAATCTGACAAACGACCATTAAGAGGGATTGAAATGCTTCTCGTTCGTCTCAGTGAGGCCTCAGAGAACATTCACTCATCTCTAAATACGCCTGTGCTCACATACGCTCAGCGTGAGCTGTCAGACTGATGTATGGAGCATGAACGAGAGAGTGGTGAGCTGAAACATGGCGCTGAGTGAATGCTAATATGCCGTGGAGGCCCCAGAGCTTTAAGACCACCAGCCATTTACACTACTGTCTTTTTTCTTGTCTCTTCTGTTCTCATCCCGTCTCGATTTGTCATGTACATGCTATCTTTTCTCTTCTTTCATATACTCAAATCTCTTCTTTTTATATCTTCTCTTCTCTCACATAATCTTATCTCTTCTTGTTTCATCTCATTTGTCACAAACTCTTCCTTTCTCATCTCAGCTCATCTCACATAGTCTCGTCTTGTCTCATTTTCTCTCACATACTCTTCTCATCTCTGCCCATCTGTCTCAGACATAATATCTTGTCTCCTCTTTCGTATGCAGTACTCCTTTCTTTTCATCTCTTCTTTTCTCGCAAAATGTTGTCTCTTGCTGTCTCATCTTTTACATACTCGTACTTTTTCATCTCACATAGTCTCTTCTCGTCTCTACTCGACAGTTTTTGTCATCTCACTGCCTTCTTTTAAATACTCTTTTCTTTCTCCTAATCTCATCTCATCTTATCTTTTTTTGTATCATCTTGTCTTTTCTCATCTCATCTTGTCTCTTTCCTTCACACAATCAGTCTATTCTTGCCTTTTTTCACATACATCTTTTCTGTCGTCTCACAATCTGTCTTCTTCTCTCGTCTCATCTGGTTTCATCTCACATTCTATCTCCTGACATACTACTTTTCTCAATTTTTTTCTCCCACATTCTTTGTGCATAACCTCATCTCCTCTTTCTCGTCTTGTCTCTTCTCTTAAATACTCTGTTTACATCTTTTCTCTGCAAGTCTCTTCTCATCTCACATACCCTTCCTTTCTCATCTTGGCTAATTTCTCTCAGTATTAACTATTGTCTCTAATATTCTTGTCTCATCTCATATATTACTTTATCTTACATGCTCTCTTTTTTTCATATCTAGTATTTTCTTATCTCGTCTCATCTCATCTGTTCTCTACTTGTCTCATCTTTCACATACTCACATATTTGTCTCAACTTTTCTCTCACATGAGGGAAAATCACATCTTGTTTCTTTTCTCACATCTTTTCTCATCTCACATACACATTTCATTTCTTATTGTTTCTTCTTATATATATGCTTTGCTCTTCTTACAGTGTCTTCTTGTTCTGTCTCTGCGTATCTCACCTGTAATCACACCTATTCTTTTCTCTTCTAATCTTCACTCTTCTAGTCTAATCTCATTTATTGCCTCATGTTATTTCATTTTGTCTTTTCAAATCACATTTTGTCTCATCTCATAGGCTATATGTGCTTTTATTACTTGCATCTGTTAAATACACAGAACACACACACACAAACCATCCTTCCATAAAAATTCCATTGACTTTAAAAACCTATTCATCCAGCACAGGAATCTGGCTGGCTTTGACCCAAGGGCTAAAAGCTGGTGGAAGCCTCTGTAAGTAAGTGTTGCCTGCGAAATACACTCAGAAAGGGAACCAAGCCAAACAGGAAGTGGCAGTGTTAACCTAATTCCTGGAGAGGAAATGATTGGCCACTCCATCTGATTGGCTGTAATGTCATTGGCTAGCTGCATGTGAAAAATAGACGTGTTTGTGCATTAGCAGCAGGGCACATTGAATACGCAGAAAACCCAATCCTGCATCAACATCCCCACAGCAGCGCTCTTCACAGGAGAATGTTTCCATCTGAGTGTGTGTCTACACACTTCATAGACAACATCAAAGTCAAGGCTGGGATCCAGTAGGGTGCTTTATTGCACTCAAACACACAGTGTTCTATTATCTTACTCTAGTTCTTATTCTGTGGTGCTTCTGTGGGAATGTGCATGGTTCGATGCAAGTTAAGCTTTGTCAGCAGCGTCGCTGAAATGCTGTGAAATACCACAGAAAATAATTTCAACTCATCCCTCAGTTTGTAAAAATAAGCACAGTTGCTTTTACCTTAAAGCTTTTAATGTCTACAGGACAGTATGTTCTGAAGAGTTTATAAAGCAGAAATGTGTGGCTTGTGTTTTCAAGTATTTTTAAAAAGGAAAAGTAATGTTGTTCCAAACCTTCCTTACTTACTTCTACAGAAAATATATTTTGAAAACTGTTGTTAAGTGATTGAGTCAGTGAGTCAGTGAGTGAGTGACTGACTGACTGAGTGACTGAGTGACTGAGTATATTGCTTTACAATATATCTTGGTCTGGTTTTAACTCCCACTGGAAATTTCAAATTGCAGTTAAAACATTACTTATAAAAGCCCGCAGGGCACTGCATGTCATACGAATGAAATTATTCAAAATAAACATCCCCATCAGAATTTGGACAAAGATTTTCGATAGTGTCATACTGCCTATTGCCCTGAATATAAGCGATATCTGGGGCCCAGCGAGTAACTACAGCCATAAAGATTGGCACAAACACCCTTTAGAAGCTCTGCATGTAGAGTTCTGCAGAAGCATCCTTCATGTGCACAGAAACACGCCTAATAACACCCGCAGAGCCGAGTTAAGCCGTCTCCCCCTAAATCTAATCATTAAAAAAAGAGTTTTAAAGTTCTGGATCCACTTAAACTCTAGTTCGGAAGATTCTCTTCTTTTTAAAGCACTAAAACACACAGACATTTACTGACCAAGTACAGATTGAGTGACCACCAGCTGGCCATAGAAAGAGGACAACATGACTGTTACCTAAAGAAGAGCGCATCTGTAATGAATGTAGATCAGGATCAGTTGAGACGGAGGAGCAATTCCTCCTCCACTGTGACAAATACACGTCCTTAAGAGACTCACTGTACAGTCAAATACAGCAGAACATTCCTGAGTTCCAGTCACTCCATGAAAATCACAAATTAAGAATATTACTTGAAGGACCAAGTAAGTTGTTGACCAAGTGAGTTGAATGAAAGATAGATAGATAGATAGATAGATAGATAGATAGATAAAGGTTTGGAACAACACGAGGGTGAATAAATGAGACTACTGTTCTGAACAGTGGATGTATTACTGGTACTTCTGCTTATTAACAGTATAATTACATCACATCCCCTTTTAGTATCTAAAAAAGTTACCAGGTTTATGGGGTTTACATGATCATGACAGGAGTTGAAAGACTGGATGTTTTCACAGGCCAGTTTATCATACTGGCATCATCATACTGGCAGCCACAAGGCATTAACATAAATGTCTTGTGGCTATGCTTGAAACTCTTTTTATGTGCATCACTGTAAACTCATTTTTGCACAGAGGCTGCACTACAAATAATGATTATCCATTCACTTTTTCTGATGGTAATTTTCCTAGATAAAACGATATGAAGAGTTCGATAAATGTTCGATATAATGTTTAAGCACCATAAACGGAACGAAACAGCACGCCTCGTTTGAATCGCGATTCGCGCCACACGGACCGTTTATCCGCTCGGATCAAAGTTCAAACCGGCTGCGCGGTGCGAGCTCACTAGAGCAGATGTGTTTGTATGCTACTATGGAAGACCAATGCTTAATTTAAAAAAAAGTTCAGAATAAATTTAACCATATAAAACTGAGGTTGCTGCACTTTTTACAGATGTTACTAATTTTGATAATGAACAAAAATTTACCTCTGCATCCTAACTCAAGCTACTATCAAATGTGCATTTCTAAGGGACAAAAAAGTGATATTATTATTAATATTATCAGGCAACCCAAACCGGTTTCTTGATTTGAAACAATATCACTCATTAGAACATGCAGAAACGAAGAAATACATTTTTTTCTATTTTGATATTTATTTTGTTAAGGAAAATTAATGGTCTAGTTTCTACAACTTTCACTTTGGAGCAAAATCTGGCTTTAAACTTGAAATAAATAAAGATTTATTTTTAAGATAATAAACATTTATCGTGATAATTATCGATATCGGCTGATATGAAAAAATTTATCGTGATAATTTTTTTGGCCATATCGCCCAGCCATATATATTTATTTAATGTATTTATTTATTTATGTATTTATGTATTTTTCATGTGTCTTGACTCTTTGATATCGTCTGTGGCAAAAGCTCTTTTAGTCTTACCAAATGCTGGGTTTTGAATTCTTGACTTTTTCTTTTTATTAGCTTTTATTATTTTAATACTCGCACAAACTGAAAAGACTTTTGATCTGGTCTCTCAATTTAAAGAGCACAATATTTTTTGAAGAGGTACTTTTCTTTTCTGTGAGGTTGACGGACAGATTGAATTAAATTTGTGTAAACTAAGCCTCTGATTTAGCTTTTGTTTTTTTTACAAACTGAGGGACATGTCTACAATATTTTCTGTGCATAATGCAGACATGCTGTGACATAGAGTTTGTACTGAATCCGGAACCTTCCTATAAAAGCAGACCCGAGTTGTTTGCTTTGGATGTGAATGACGCAGTTTGCCCTTGAAAGCCACATACTGGCTCAGACCTATTTGAACAGCCACTTGTTGCTATGCTCTAGCTGATAGAAAAGAGAGAATGTGTGTGTGTGTGTGTGTGTGTGTGTGTGTGTGTGTCTCTAAGTGCAAAGAGGTCTTTTCTCTAAATGTATGTAAACCAGGCTTATTAAAGATGATTCACATAGTGGACAGTTAAAATCACAGCTAATTGGTCTCTCTCTGTTTCTCTATCCAGCGTCTGATTTAGAGCAGGATGCTACAGTGAAGTTGGAACAGGAGCGAGCTGAGATACTTGCCAAATATGACAAGGTGAGAGAAAACAGCTGCCATTCATTTACCTGCCAAATACCCTCCAATCCACTTCCAAGAAAAACAGAAACACCGTAAAGACATACTCTGATCCAACCAGATACCTCCTTCCATCATACAGTAGTTCACAACCTGCGCACATCACATTTGCTATAAGAGTTTTCATCTGGAAGATTCTCTGTATTCTTATCTGTTGCTAAAACGTTGTCTGTCAGATTTTAGCAGACATTTCTGTTATGTTTCTGATTTAGAGTGCCACAGAGAATTCTCTTTGTGTGACTGGTCAGTAGGGTGTTAAAATATGATTTATTATAATGGCTATCATGTGAAACACCTGTTCACCAGCTGTTGTGTATATCACTCATGTTGGGAGGCCAACTTTTATCCTTAGGTCATGTCTGGCATTGTATCTTTAAAACAGGCTTTCCAGGCTTTCCCTTTAAAATACATATTGGAATGATGGCTTACAGGAAAGAAAGTGGCACTAAAAGTGAAATGAGACCTTATATTGCATGAATGCAATAATGATTATGTGGTAATAAAGTCAGAATATTATGACTTCCTGTGACCGTTCTAAGAGTAATGTGTGTTTTCACTGAAAGGTTTAATGATTTTTTTTCCCCTCATGAAATCTCTTGCGCTTGTCTGGTTTGTAAATTGATCGCTTAAATTGAGTGTAATCTGAGCTCTCATTAGGGGGCTCTAATTCTGTAACGTGTCTGTTAATTGGATTGTGATAAGCTCCCATAAACTGAGATCCGTCTCCTGACTCAGGAAGCATAACACGTATGGTCTTATGTTATGTTTTCTTTCTTCTCTTATATTTTAGCCCTCTAAAATGTTAGTTTTAAAAAATTTACCCTTTAAAGGGTTAGTTCACCCAAAAATGAAAATTAGGCTGTGTTTTACTCACCCCCGAGGCATCCTAGGTGTATATGACTTTCTTCTTTCAGACGAAACCAGTCGGAGTTATATAAAAAATTGTCCTGGCTATTCCAAGCTCTATCATTGCAGTCAGCGGGTGTTGCAGTGCTTCAGTCCAAAAGAAGTTAACTAAAAAGCGCCCGTCCATAAAAAAAGTGTCTCACACGGCTCTGGGGGGTGAACAAAGGCCTCCTGTAGCGAATCCATGCGTTTTTGTAAGAAACATATCCATATTCAAAATGTAATAATCACTTTAATGTAGCTTAAATCTATCTATCTAGCCTATGGAACTAAAATCTCACAAATTTTTGCTCACTCAATGTATTTTTGATTTTACAGTGGGGTAATTTTGTTACAGTAGCACGAGATAGCTTGATTTAATAAATTGCTTTTTAGTTTTTCAGGTAGGTCTAACAGTATAGAGCTATTAAGATTTTTTTTTATTTTTTACCAATTATCCAAATAATGTTTAGTCCTAGAAAGCTATTATTATCAGAACACGTGAGCATAACATAGTGGTTAGAAGAAGATCAATGAATGAGAGGGCAGCGTTATGAGTTGCCCATATACCACACCTTGTTACAGCACAGTAGGGCTATTGCAACAGAAACAATACTGTACTACATAGATGTTTCCTGTCGGCTCGATTTTTGAGTGGACTTTGCTGTTTCGATGAGCATGAACGGTAGAGCCCTGCATTTTTAGCCCGGCCCCGACTTTTTAGTAATCAAGTAATTACCATGAATGTCAGGGAGAAATAGTAAGGAAATATTTGAATTATTTACTAATAAACTAGTGTTTTCTGAGTCGGTGTCGCAAGGATGAAGTTGCTGGTCCTTACTCGCCATCTCCTCATTAGACACGCTGTAAGGGAAACAGGTCAATTTAGCTCAAAGGGAATAATTTAAGATTTTATAGGGAATTTGGACAGAATCACGGTTTTACGGCTGATGACTGAGTCGGCCAGCGATTCATTTAAAGAGCCGTATAACAATTCTGCAATGGATATTAATATCCAAAGTGTAGTGAAAACACTATTTATTAGCACAGTAACAAGATCGGCAGTTTAAGACATTAACTTGTAAGCACAAAACACAAGATACTTCTCTTTTCAATATGAATAAGGCTTTATTGGATAAATATAAGACATTTAAACTAATCTAACACACAAACACACGCATTCACACAAGTTGCAGAAAGAGAGAAAGTGAGGAAAGAATGAGTTTAAGAGAATGAAAATGTGAAATCCCAAGTTCCCAGCAATATGTGCAATTGCATAGACCTGAACAACCATCAATCACTTAATTAACCCTCGCATTGAGTTCCTCAATGAGGTTAAAATTTATAATAAATGCACCAGTTCAGCTAGGATCTGGACATTCTTGCGTTCCTGTGTGCGTGGTTCCCTTCCTTGTCTGGTTGCCGAAAGGGGTTTCCCGCGGTCGCTGATTGGCTGGAAGTTCAGTCTTGGGAAGCCAGTGATTGGGCGTTGGCTGGCGACGCGGAGCTGTGGTCTGCAGTTGAAGTTTAGACGGCACTCTTTCGGAGACACGGCAAACTTAACTCGGAACACACGAAACTCAACGGAAAATAAAATAAACTAAAGTAAAGAAATAGAAGTAAAGTTTGACGAGACCAGGTGGCGTTTCTCCTCATGGTTTTGGAGGAGATGGCATGTAAGCCAGAGCACGCTCAAAAGCTAAAGAAGCATGATTAAAAAGAAAACACGGCTCAAAAAGGCAAGAAGGAAGAGATGACTGAAAAGCACGACTAAAAGCGAAAAGCTAAAAGCCGCATGGCTAAAAAGCATATAACTAAAAAGCCGCATGGCTAAAAAGCATATAACTAAAAAGCCGCATGGCTAAAAAGCATATAACTAAAAAGCCGCATGGCTAAAAAGCATATAACTAAAAAGCCGCATGGCTAAAAAGCATTTAACTAAAAAGCATGACTAAAAGCGAAAAGCTAAAAGCTAGACACAAAAAGCAAAGTTTGATGGTGTCCTGAGTATTTAAACCGGGCTGTTTAACACACCCCAAATGGTGTTTTGACCAATTAGA